CATAAATCTGGAGATATAAATAGACTTAGGTGGAGGAGAAGGGTGGGAAGTGCAGGAAGGGAAAGGTTGTATCACCCAAATCCATAATCTAGACAAACCTGACTTTTGCCTGCCCAGATATATAGTTACGTCAGAAAGCTGTGAGTTGAGTCTGATGTTGCTTACTCTTGGTGAAACCACACAGGGTCTTTGTGGCTTGAGAATTTTTTTTGACTTACTCTGGAATCTCATCTGGGATACAAGTCAGGCTCACCAGAGGAAGAAGAATTTATTTATTGAATACTTGGTATTAGTACACTAAGTATTTGGTATATTCTACCTCATTTCCTTCCAATTACTTTATAAGGCAGATTTTTTTTATCCTGTATTTTTCAGCAGAGAAAATGAAAGCCCAGAGAAAAGGTAGTTGCTCAAGGTCACAAAATAACTGGCAAAGCTAGGATTTAAACTGTTTGATTCCAAAGCCCTTGCTTTTTCCGTAGTACTATGCTGCCTTCAATCTGTTGGCAAAGTGTACTTTCTTTTCCTTGTAAAGAAAAGTAATATGACATTTAGCTATCTAGTCTCCAACGCTGCTTGTTTCTTAAAAATCTTTAAATCGCACCTTTCAGCCATCTCACACGTGCTCTCATCTTCCTGGGATTTAATTCACCTACATTAGAAGATACGAACTCGTATAAAATACAGAAACATTGTAAAATCTCTTCATACATTTGGGATATCAGTTCCCACTTTACTGGAGTTTGATCTCCCTTCTTCATTCCTATAGACATCCCTGATAGAGAAGACAGAAACAAAACAGGGGTTGAAGAATTGTACTTTTTTGTCCTCCATTACCCACTATTATGTCAGCAACACATCCAGTGCTTGGTGGACTTTCTCCCTACACTGCCAAAGAAACCCTTTCTTGGTTTTTCTTTGCATTTTCTCTTCTGCAAGGCTAAGCTCATTTTGGCCTTCCTGGAACTATTCTCGGATGCTTGGTACTTCTTTTAGTCATCTTTAGTTATCTGCTCTTAATTGCATCCTTCATTTATGTTTTCTCTACATCTGGGATTATTTCAGAGTCTCCAGTGTAACCCCTAGCATATCTTGCTTTTCTTTTTCTATTTATGATCATTTAGAAATAAAAATTGTTAAAAAGTAAAAACATTGGCCAGGCATGGTGGCTCATGCCTGTAATCCTAGCACTCTGGGAGACCAAGGTGGGAGGATCGCTTGAGGTCAGGAGTTTGAGACCAGCCCGAGCAAGAGCAAGACCCCATCTCTACAAAAAATAGAAAAATTAGCCAGGCTTGGTGGCATGCATCTGTAGTTCCAGCTACTCGGGAGGTTGAGGCAGGAGAATTGCTTGAGCCCAGGAGTTTGAGGTTGTAGTGAGCTGTGATGATGCCACTGCACTCTAGCTGGGGCTACAGAGCAAGACTGTCTCCAAAAAAAAAAAAGTTTTAAAATTCAGTTAACATGTAAAACTTGTTCATTTGGAGATTTCTGGATGTTCTTGTCCATCTTCCCTAACAGAATTTCAAGTCATGGTCTCAGGTTCACCTTTTAAAAGTAATACTTGATCATACTGAGGCTTTTCTTTTGTGGCCACCTGATATTTAAGAATAACATTGTTAACTTCTGCTTATATTCTTACTACTTTTAGAATGACAAACAGTTTCTTTCTGTTAGTATTTTGGTCCAGAATGGCATTTCAGGCAGTGCTGAAATGTCAGCATTCAACTTGTCAGATATTGTACTGTAAATCAAATAAAAGTCACACATAATTGTTGATATCTGTTCCGGTGACTACAGCCTTTCTCTGCTCGGTTTCCTGATCTGTTAGGGATACAGCTCCTGTCTGGTTGGTGGTCTCTAATAGTTTCTGTAGTTTGCACTTTCCTTACCATGTATGCTTCAACTTGCTTCCACATCAGGCTCTTTAATTTTTTCCCAGAAGCTCTGAAGGAGGTAAAGGCTGTATAATTATGACATAGTTGACATATGGATTTATGATTTACAGTATCCTCTACCTACTCAAGCATTTCTCTTAACCAGCCTTTTCTTTTCTGTGACTTCTTTTCTTTTTTTGTAGAGAAAGGGTCCTACTGTGTTGCCCAGACTGGCCTGCAGTGGCTGTTCACAGACACGGTCATGGCTTACTGCAGCCTCGAACTCCTGGCCTCAAATGATCCTTCAGCCTCAGCCTTCTGAGTAGCTACTGAACCCAGCTCTTAACCAGCCTTTTCTTTGGACTAGGACAACCCCCACTTTTTAGGCTGATCTTAAGTCTCATCCAAGTCTTAGTACCACTGTGAGATCATCTTTAC